CACACAAATCTTAAAGCTGTCAAGTTACAAGACCCTTGCACCCCTAACCCTTCAGAAAAAAAAAACCCTAGAGGTGTTCAAACTTTAAGACTTGTGGACTTCAACTCCCAGAATTCCTCCTCTCGTTCTTCATCGATGATGTGTGGATGGGCAGGGGGAGGGAGCTGGAACTGGTTCTAAACGGCACTGTAGATTTGTGGAACCTCTTCTATAGAAGAGGTTAGAACTGGCAAGAAACCATCCTTGCTCTGAAGCCTGAAGAGGGATCATACGCACATGTGCGGTGGGTGGGTTGTGCGCGCATGCACAGATAGGAAGGGAGGATTGAATTGGTGTGGGCACATGTGCGCACATGATACCGTGTGAGCACACAATTGTGGTATGACATAAGAAAAAGGTTCGCCATCACTGGTCTAAACAATACTATTCTAAAATGTGAATGAAATATTTTTTGTTTTAAAACCAGATATTTATAATCATGATACTATTTCCTCAGTTCTTTGCTCATTTTTCCTGTAAATTTGAATGAAGCATTGCATTTAAAAGAAAATGACAATTCACTTCAGGCATTCAGCAATTAATGTAATTAATTGTGCTTGAGAAAAAAATGACAGTACTATTAAGATTATATTTTAATAGCTATTTGAAATAATGTATTTTTATAATGAAAATTGAAGAGTTCACTATGTCAGGAACACATTCTCTTCGAATGGGATTACACACCATAGGAGGTTTATTGTAGAAAGTGAAAACATAGCAAAGCAATAACCAAATTATTTCCTTCTTTTGCTAAGATGGTTGGTCGGGATGCAATGGGGCTTGGAATTGGAAGACAATGCTGTAATTTGTTACTACGTTGACAGTACTTTGGCAGTTTTGTAAGGCATAAAGTTTCAATAGTCACTAGAACTATGTTTGGATGGAAAACTCAGACTGGTTAGAGACTGAGATGTGTAACGTTTGAAGAGATAATTAAGGCCACTGAGTCCAGCCAGCTGTTCTGTGCAGAAATCCAAGTACAAGAATCCATGTCAGATAACTCTCTGGCCACTACTTAAATAAAAACAATGAAGGGAAGTACACAACCTTTTCATGTAGAATGTATCACATCAATATTATTTGTGAGAACAAGGCTTCAGTATATATAAGCAGACTCATCACTAATACTGCTTCTGATTAATTAGAACAACAGAAATCCGGACTGACATATGTAGCAGCAAAATTAACCTAATCCCTAACATAAACCACCATAACAAATGAATGTGTTCAACTTTCATGGTCCAGATCTGATGTTATTGTATGCAGAATGTTTACCAGAGCATGCAGAATACAAATGTACACCAAGTCAATCAAATGAATATATTCTTTTAGGGTGTGGGAAGCTCAATTTTCACAATGACTATAATTTAATGAAACTGAATTCCACTTCAGTTGCTTCAAACTGATTTTTTGTTTGATAGCAATACGGTGTTTTTAGGATATATTATGGAATGCCATAATAGAGAGAGAACTCTAGGAGAACTAAAGGCTTTGTTATGTAGCTGGTAGACACTAGAATGAGATCAGAGGAAATGATAGTAATACTAACTCAAACATTCTTTCTTTCCCCTTTCTGCTTTCTGATCCTAAGAAGATTTGAACATTGCAATGTTATTCTTTAAGCCATGAAATTACCATGCTGTGGTATCTCCTCAGCAGCTTTCCATTATCCTTATCTTTTATTTAGGAGACTGATCTAGGTTGAGAAAAGGTTTAGAGATAGGCACAGTGGTGGGTTTCAAAAAAATTTAAAACCTCTTCTGTAGGTGTGGCCTGTTTTGTGGGAGTGGCTTGCCAGCCATGTGACTGGGTGGGAGTGGCTCGGCAGTCATGTGACCAGGTGGGAGTAGCTTGGCAATCATGTGACCTGGAGGGAGTGGCTTGGCACTAGGTGGGAGTTGCCAAGACAATGTCACTGAATTATTTGCCCCAATGAATGATCTACAAAAAGAAGATATAAAAAAGGAAATTTATTATTTTGTACACGTACTAATTAAATAAGATTAAATTAACTACAGAAAACAATAAAAGAGCTACTTACAGAAGGAAGATGAGTGTCCTTGCCAGTCTTCTACATCACTGACCACACTTGCTCCAGTGAATGCCCTGCACAAAGAAGAAATGAACTCTTCAATTTGCATGCACTACATTAGGATGAAACCAGCATACAAAACAATAAAAGAACTACTTACGGAAGGAAGATGACTGTCCTTGCCAGTCTTCAATATCACTGACCCCAATGAATGGCCTGCACAAAGAAGAGACACACAAATGAGCTATTCAATTGCATGCACTATATTAGCATGAAACAAGCACACAAAATAATAGAAAGACTTTTGTGAGTCTTCAACATCACCGACTGATCACCTTGCTCCAATGAATGGCCTGCACAAAGAGAAACAGAAATGAAGACTTTAATTGCATGCACTACCACATTAAGGATGAAACCAGCACACAAAGCAATAAAACAGCTACTTACACAGGAAACATGACTGTCCTAGTGGTCATACTCTGTTGCCTCTTCATCCTGTTAAATAATACTAATTGCAAAAGAAATAAAA